ATCTCGAATCTCAAACTATTTATTTTACTTAACTTATTAATTAAACTGGGTCTAAAATTATATTGTTTTGATAGCTCACGTCCTCAAAAATATGTTGGAAAATTTTTGTACATGTTAGGTGAAGTCACATGAACTTTTATATGTACAAACCATTTTTTTTACGCCAAATTTAAATTTTTGCCATATGCTATTATGTGTAACCGAACTCTACCCTTAAGCTACTTTGATAGGGTGTAACCCCCTTAATGAGTCTCGGATTCAAACACTAGTATAAATAAACTGGTTTTTCATTGTTGAACAGATTTATAATATTAAGTTGTTGCTATTTTTGCATAAACAACTGCTATAGAATGTGGATACAGAATCTTGGATCAAAGATGTGGAAAATAATTTGGAGATATTAAAGGGGAACATAGCCCATGCATGATTATATCTTATGATGTTGTTTTTTTTTTCACTATTTTCACTGATATAAGTTCAGGCTTTTGCAAAAGCAAACTCAGAAGCTGAAAAACTTCTATGGGAAAGGCTGGTGAATGACTTAAAAAAATAGACTTGACATAACTTCCATATAATCACCCTCTATGTTCTGGTATATTTGATATCAATCACCTATTTCTGATTTGCCAGATTCTCTTTGTAATGTTTTTGAGGAAAATACCAAAAAAAAGTTTTGCATAGATAATAATGAAGCATTGTTGCAAACTTGTGAAGAGTATATTCAAAAGGTAAGTATTGGTTTAGAAGAACCCCCTTTGGAAACATGTGATCCTCCATTCGGTCAGTGGATAAGTGTCCAGAGAAGTTGAAAATTATAACAAAGCAATTATTGGAAGCATTGTAAGTTTATTAATGACTATATTACTTTTATTGATAAGTTAATCTTCAGTTAATGAAAATTAATGTAATTTTAGACATCATATTTTAAATCAGATAGTGATAAATGAAGGATCATATGTTTGTGAAGTTCTGGCACCATTATTTAACATTGTTTTGAGGGATTTACCAACAAAAAACGAAACATGGAAAATATGGTAAGCAAATCAGTTTTTGTTTTAGATAATGTTAAAAAGTATGACATTCATTTCTCAAAAAAATCAGGGGTGATATGGCAAGTTGGTCCGACACTGTGCAGAAGGGTAATTCACATAGTGCATGTAGGCCAGATCTCATGCTTATTGCATTTGTAAATGATCAAAGGGTTGATATTCTAAATTTGGAGACTGGTTGTCCAGATTCTTCTAAATGAAAACAAGAACAAGAACAGTACAACTTGCAAAGAATTCAATGGATTTTGCAAGAGATTATCTTAAACAATTTATAAAGAAGGGGATATTGACTAATTTGCTATCAATATTTTCTATCAATATCACAGGTAAGTGGGTGTAAAATTGGTTTATTATCAAATAAATCTAATAAGTAATGCTATGTATGGATTCCATCTGATGTTTTTAGGGGGGATGATTTAAGGATTTATAGCATGCGTATGAAACATGATATTCTCAGAAATTGCTTGCTGACTCGAGTGACTATACCATTACATATGGTATCAGCTGATGCTGTCTACCCACCTATCCATTCATTGCTCACTTTAAGGGTATTTTTTTTAATCTTCCTAATAAGATAATAACTTTGCTTATTGCTCTTGATAGCATTATATAGATTGTCAAATGTTGTCAAACAACCAATTCATACAATTTATCCTAAAATAAAATCAACACTAATTTGTGATGTAAATTTAAACCATTCCAACCATGTGTGACTCAATCATCTGGCAAACTATTATTATTCTTGAATAGCCTTTGTTTCTTATTTGGACAATAAAATAAAAATACAAGCAAACAGTCTTAATTGAAAATAAGTTTATTCCAAATCATTTTTTCTAAAAGATAGAAAGGTAATTATATTTAACAATTATTATTTTCCAAATATTGAAATAACTGATAAACAAACTATATTTTAATTTACAATTAATGCTGTCCTATGAAAGTAATGTATGGGAATTCCATACATTTTCTGAAATTTTTTTAGGTAACACAATTGAAGGAAATAAAGAAAATTCCATAAATTTTATTAACTAATAGGGAAAAGTAACCTGACTAATGTTGATACAAGTCAAGACAAAATGTTATTCTATTTGTTTTATTGCAACATTTGTTATAAACATGTTACAATAATGGGTGACGAAAATACTTTCCTTAATTAATTAGTAAAGTTTATACAATTCTTGCTCTAAAATGTCCTGTTCATAAACACAAGGTTTGACCTTATCTCATATAACTATCTCTATTCATGAGAACACGTTTGCTGAAGGTCAAGCATATTTGGTATTGAGTAGAGCAAGCTTCTCGGAAAACTTGAACATCCTAAAATTTGATTTTTCTCAAATAAAATGTTCAAAAAGTCCTTTGATCAAATATAAGAGATTGGAACCTTTTATTGTAAAATGATTATTTGTAATAAAGTAGGCTTGGCAGTACCAATGACTTTTTCTGGGGGGATGGTGCACTGCTCCCTGCTTATTTCAATATCTTGTTTTTGTATAAATAATAAATTTTTGCAGGCTGCAACAAATCAAAATAACAAATAACAAATATTAGTGATAGGTAGGTAAGCATTAACAAGTTAAAATGTATGACTAAGTCTGAAGAAATTTACAACGGGCTCCTCCGAAATATACATCAACCAGCCAATAAGGAATTCAATTTTAATTTAAACTTATTATTATTATTATTTGTTATTATAAGGTTGTAATTTCTGTTCACTTGCTTTAATAGTTTGATTGGGAGTTTTTCTCGAGTAAAGTGATATTGCCTGACTGATTAAACTACATATTCTTTATATTGCGTTATGAGTGATACTTATTTCAATCATATACCATCATCACCTTCGCCTGACAGGTGCCTATCCCACAACAAAGTAAAGAGAGGGATATTGTGTAGATCAATTAAAAAAATTGACGCAATCAATCTCACACAACATCGATTGACCATCATAAATATTTGTACTGTAATATACTGAATTTCTTCGATTTTTTAAACCAAGAAAATTAGAGAGCTACTTGGTGAATAGTTGATAAAATGAAACATTATATTAGTATGCCATATCTTGATCCCTTTATATATATATATAAGATGAAACTCTACTGCTCGGTGCTGGAAAAGTATCTCTCAAATGACCATCTATACGAAGAGATGATTTCTCGTGTAATTTTTAAAAATTTACTGAGTCATTTTTTAACTATACCTCTTTTGGTTCGAATATAATTTATCCCAAAAGAAAATTAGATTTGATTCCATGTGACACAATTTTTTCAAAAAAAAAATGATTTTTTTGACATCAGTAAAAAAAACAAATTCATTATATTATAATTTTTTCAAAAAACCGAGAAATTTTCATACGACGATTTCATCTTTTGAAATTATTACATATCGAAACTTCATTATTAGAAATAGAAGATGCGAAATTAACAACAACAATGATATCATAGTTGATAAAAGATGTTTGAGATCATTTATTAGAACATTTAGTTCTTCCTCTTCAACCATTTTACGAAATCATCAACAACAACATCATCAACAACAACATCACCAACAACAACATCATCAGCAGAATAAGCAACAGCATTATCTATTAATTCAACAATTCTTACTATTTAATAATTTTATGTATAATAATAAAGAGAATAAAGAGCACAAACCGACCAAACAAAATCAATTGTCAATAAGCAGCAAGAAGAAGAAACAAGATCAAATATTGTTAGTTAATAATAATGGTGAGAAGAAGAAACAAGATCAAATATTATTAGATAGTGGTGAGAAAGTGAAACAAGATCAAATATTGTTAGTTAATAATAATGGTGAGAAGAAAAAGCCAGATCAAATATTATTGTCAAACAGCGAGAATAAGCAACAACAACAAAAAGAAAAGGAAGTGATAGTAGAAGAAAAAAAGATTGATCCAATAGTGACAAAAATAATTGAAAATTTAAGAGCAAAAAATCTAAAAGAAATCAAAAGCATATTATTGAATGATGAAAACAAACCAGTAGTTGGGAGTGTTGAAGATGCATTGAAATTTAAAATGGAATTTTATAATCATCTAAATTCATTTGAATTGGAAACACTTGACAGATTATTAAGAAATCATTTGGTGGAAACATTAGAACCAGATGGTCAATTAAAAAATGTATTAAGTATCATTGAAACTTATGATATTGAATCACAAAAATCACAAAAAGAGTTTGAGAAATTAAAATATTTTGAATTGTTAAATTCAAAAAATTATGATGAAGCTTATAATTATTTATATGAGAAAATTAGTGATGTTGATAGTAGTGGCATCGAATATTTACTAGATATTAACAACTATATCAAAAATACTAATAACTATAATGTTAATGATGGTAGTGGTGGTGGTGGTAGTCATAATAGCAGCAGCAGCAGCAGTAATAATAGTAATAATGTTGGATTGGAAATAAATTATAAATCAAATGAAATAATAATAAAATCATACTTTAATAAAATGACCAATAACATTGACAGCCAAAACATAATTATTGATAAAAAAACAAATTTGATAAAAAATTTTATTTATAAATTATTTATGATGAATGAAGTTGAGCTGATTAATAAGATGAATGAATTAATTATCAGTAAAGATATTGCGATTAATGAGGAAATAATCAGATACATACTAATGGGATATTTTGAATCGCACAAGTTTGATGAACCTTTGAATTTATGGAATAAATTAAGAGAAATGAAGGTTATCAAATTAAATAGTTTGTTGTACAGTGAAATGATTCGAGGATTTTCAATGAAGAATCATTTGCAACCAGTTGAAAAACTGTGGAAAGAAATGAAATCAGATAAAGTTGAACCAAATCTTCAAATTTATTCCAGCTTGATGGAAATTAATTTTAAATTGGGAAAAGTTGACAAAGCAATTGAAATCTTCAAAGAATCAAATAATTTAATTAATAGTGGCGGTGTTAGTGGTGCTGGTGCTGACGGTAAAGATACTGCTAATAGTAGTACTACAAGTAGTGGCAATCATAGAATCATTAGTGATAGTTATTTAATTAACCAGAAACTAATCAAAGGACTTTTGATGAATAGAAAACAGGAAGAAGCACTAAGAGTTTATAATTATTTGAAAGATAATCATGTAAAACATCATCATAATAGTGGTGGCGGCGGTGATGGTGGTGATAGGAGTAATCAGATCTTAAATACATCAATATATAATATATTATTTGATCATATTGATACTAGAGCTATAATCATAGAATTATTTAATGATATGAAAGCATTGAATGTTCGTCTGGATGATTACACACTTAATATATTATTAAAGAAATATATCAAATATAATGATATTGTGTCAATAAGGAAAATAATAAACTTATTTAATTTTTACAAAATAGAAATGAACCAAGTAACTTATACTACATTAATGAATTATTTAATTAGAATCAATGATAAAGAATCTTTAAATAATTTAATGAAGTTCGATAATAGTAATCGTAGTGGTGGTAGGAGTAACTATAACAATCTTCGTAACAAGAATAGAAATATTATTAATTATAGTTTAATGATTAAACGTGACATTAAAAATAATGATCTTGAGAAATTAAATCTCACATTGAGTGAAATGAAATCTGAAAATATTTCTTTAACTTTAGTAATCTATAATTCAATATTTGATTATTATATTAAATATAATCATTTTGATGATTTGTCAAAGATTTACAATCAATTTTCTCAATCAGTCAATCAAAATCTAATCAAGCCAAACTTAACTACATATTACATACTATTAGATGGTTACCTATCAAATGACAGATTAGATGATGCATTGAAAATTTATTCTGATTACAAGAAATCTGGTTTAAAGAACTTTGATAATTTAGAATTTGAAAAAACAGTTAAAAAACTAGAGTTGAAAAATCTATAGTAATAGTAGTCGTAGGAGGAGGAGGCGGAGGAGGAAATTACGAGTGAGTGGTAGTTTTAATACTTAAATTATGATGTATCGTTATTATTATTGTGTAAATTAATCAATTTTTAAAAATATTGACGGATATAATAAATAATCAATCATTCTTGTCTAATCGTGACATCATGTCTTACTCCCTAAAAAAGTAAAGATTAACGTCGCGTAAAAGATTACACAGGGCTAACTACATGTTAATTTTAAATAACTTTCTTTTTTTGATCTATATTTTCATTCATACTTGTTTTGAATCAACCAAAATCTAATATATCAGAATAAAAAAAAATTAAAATGCGTTTAATTATTCGTGAAGATTGTGATGCAGTTTCTGAATATATGGGTTCGTTTAATAAAAATCAATAATTTTTATTTAAATTATAAAAATAGTAATTAACTTGGTTCCTTCCTCCCCCCAAAAAATTATTTAGCAACATATATCAAGAATCGTATATTAGAATTTAATCCAACTCCCGAGAAACCTTTTGTTCTTGGTTTGCCAACTGGTTCTTCGCCAATTGGTGTTTATAAAAATTTAGTAAAGTATCATAAAAATGGTGAATTAAGTTTTCAAAATGTCGTTACTTTTAATATGGATGAATACGTTGGTTTGCCAAGGTAAAGTCTTAATAGTGATAGTAATAATGATGATGATAATAATAATAATAATAAAAATAACAATAATAATAGTTGATAAATAATATATGTTTTGTTATTATTTATTAGAGATCATTCAGAAAGTTATCATTCTTTCATGTGGCATAATCTTTTTAAGCATGTAGATATAAATCCGAAAAATGTTCATATACTCAACGGTAATGCCGAAGATCTTGAAAAAGAATGTGCTGATTTTGAAGTCTCTATTAAAGCTGCTGGTGGCATAGAACTATTCTTGGGAGGTTAGTACCAGCAAAATTAATGTGTGTGATAATTGAATAATAACCAAATAAATTAAAACAGTTTTTTTTACATTTACATCTAAAAATTGATGATGACGATGATGATAGGTATTGGACCTGATGGTCATATAGCTTTTAATGAACCTGGATCTTCGTTGAACTCAAGGACTCGTGTAAAAACTTTAGCGTATGATACAATTTTAGCAAATTCAAGATTTTTTGAAAATGATATCAGCAAAGTACCTAGAATGGCATTAACTGTTGGGGTTGGGTATGTAATATTAAATTAATTGTATTTATTACTTATTAATTATTTTTAATATCTCATGTTAATTTTTAGGACTGTTATGGATGCACGTGAAGTCGCAGTTATTATTACCGGAGCTCATAAAGCTATTGCATTAGCCAAATGTATCGAAGAAGGTTGATATTATTTTATTTATAGTTGTTGTTGCATTAACAGTAATTGTTTTAACAGAAATAAATAACAATAATATTCAAAATAATTCATAAAGGTATAAACCATATGTGGACTGTGTCAGCAATTCAAAATCATCCCAAGGCTTTAATTGTTTGTGATGAAGATGCAACTCTTGAATTGCATGTAAAGACTGTAAAATATTTTAAGAGTATTGAACACGTTATTAAAAATCTTATTGGAGCTGAAAATGTTGGTTTACAAGGTAATATTAAATTTACATAGAGAAAGCCATTTGTATTTAGTAATTTGCCATTTTCTTAAAAACAAAAAAAACCATATTTTGTTCCAAGGTTTTTACTACATATATGAATAATTTTTTTAAATTATTATTTTATAATATTCCTTTTTTTTTTTTTTTTTTTGATAAAACCAATCGAATAAATTAAACATTAATGTTAACTATTCATTGTATTTAGTTGAATCAAAAAAAAAATTTATATCGTTTTGATTGAAAAATTATTATTATTTATTAATCATTATTATTAAATGTAAATGAATTATTAGGTAACGTAAAGAAGTATCCCACACCAGTAGTTACACCAACAAGAGAAGAATTTTATAATTTGCCTTTTTGAAAAATAAGATTGAATGTGAGATAAAAAAAAACTTGGACATGTAAGATACAATAATGTACTGTAAGGATATAATATGTAATATAGAACAATGCAAAATGCTAATAATAATACAATAAATATTTACGTTAAAAATTTTTTACGGCTTAGCTGCTGGATCTAACCCAATACTTTTCATTTTGACAGCTATCTCAAATAAATAATCGTAACATTCACACATTGTCTTTGCTTTCTCCCATGATTCTATACAAGTTAAATGATAATAGCGATGATTATTATTATAACCATTATTACTATTATTATTATTTTTTTTTAAGTTATGAATTATTATTATTATTATTATTATTATTATTACCTCCCCAGACATATACACCATGTCTTCTTACTAAAACAGCATTTGTCTCGGGATACTTTGTCATAATCTATTAATCAAAAAAAAATAGTTTTTTTAAAAAAAAACAAGATCACTTTAAAATAATAAAGATCATCATAATCAAAACTTCAAGTTACTTTTGCCATATCTTCAGTCAGATCTTCTTCTTTAGCCGTATTTTCAATAATCGGCACAACCAAACTATCAAAATACTCGAAATTTTCTTTGCTACTCCCACGTCTAATACCCTTAATCATTTCCTGGTGCGTTATTTCAAATACTTCGCTATTGCTATATAACAGGGTGACCATTACTGCATTTTGTGAATGGGTGTGAATACATGCATTAGCATTACGTAATGTATATGCGTTATAAAATAATGGAGTACAGGCTGATGGTTTATATCGTTCAGGTGAACGTAGTTCTCGCCTTGTTGATAATAGCAATACAAATAAGTCTTTTGGTTTGATGCGTTCTTTTTGAACTCCTGTCATTTCAGTTATCATTATTTTTAGAAAAAGAAAATTAACCTGAAGGTGTCAATATATATTAAAAGTCACTAATAATAAGAATATCAGATAAATTAAATTGTTGGGAGAGAAATAGACCAAAATATAAATAAGTATAGATTAACCTGAAGGTGCAATATATACTAATTCACTAATTAATAATAAAATAAGATTGTTGATTATTACGATTATGAATAATAATATTGTTGTTGAAAATGTATTAATAGTACGAACCCGTCACGAATAGAAATTCCTCCTCTATTCCAATTAATAAAAAAATATAATTAAATTTTTAGACAATTATTATAAAAATATACAAGCGTATATACATACCCTGTTCCTGTAACCCAACCTAATTTATAAAATAATCTACATAATTCAGGAATAAGATTTACAGGATGTAAAGGATCTTTTGAATTAATTTCATCCTCGATATTTAAAATTGATTCCATTTTTTATCAACGTGACACCAAAATAATTAATCGAGGGAATTTTTTTACGAATTTGATTATTATTAGAAAAAAATTTTGCACTTTAATTGGATTCCAAACAACCTCTTGTATGCTTATGAGGTTATATTGAAAGATATACTAAATTATAAAAATAATAATATGAAAAGACCAAAGAGGAATATAGTAAATTAAAAATATAATGGGAATAATTTTTAAAAAGGTAGCGTACTCAAAGAAAATTGGCCCAGGCGTAATAATTAAAGCCAGTTCACAAGCCAAATAACCTATTAAGCTCGCAAGCCGAATAAGTTATCCATAATTATGAGGAGCTTGAATAATAATAATAACTTGGGATTATTTATATTAAAATTTTACAACAATTGATTATGTTAGTGAAACTATATTTGAATTTGTCGAACTAATATCTTTAAATATTACGAAAGATAGCCTTAACTAATTTACACATTTGTCACAAGACTCCAGGGCAGTCTTTTCAGTTGACCAAACACACAATGACTCATATGGTGGATTTTTAGTGCCTCGTTCATTTGTAGAAGACAAGTCTTTTTTTTCGAGATATTTCGTTTTTTAATTTCATTGTATATAAAATTAAGAATTCAGACAATTGAAAATACAAAATTGTGGCTTTGACATGCATGTGTATATATATATATTAATTATAGACGAGAGATATTTTCAACTAAAAAATAATAATTTAATTTACATAGGCAAACCATTCTGTCTGTATCATTGAAATCCAGCTTACATTTCTGAAGGTTTAAGTTTACGCTTTTCAAATTTCTTATTTAATTCATCAACGACTTTTGTTACTTTTCTCTTGACCATCTTTTAGAAATAGTTCTCTTTCATTCATAATAAATATTTTTACAATACATTATTGGGTGTCATCCTGGTAGTAGTAGATTAATTTACTAAATTTGATCCCTGTAATTCCACTTAAAGCTCTTCAGGAGCTGGCTTGCGAGCCAGATAACTTATCCAGCTTGCGGGTTGGCTTGTGAGTTTACTAAGTTATTTGGCTTGTAAGCTGGCTCATGTGGAGCCTTTGTAAATCAGCTATTTTTTATATGGTTGGCTCGGTCTAAAGACTAATTTTAAAAGTATACAAGTCACTTCTGTCCTTACCTTTTAAAAAAACAGTTTCAAATTTTAATGTAATAAAGGGATTTCTCGAAAAATTATTTGTTGTAGAGTTCTATTCATTAATACATGTATTTTACTATTACTAATTAAAAAATTTATTAAAAGATAGGGTTTTTTTGTGAATGCTGTAACAAAATTATTTAAAGTGAATTACTAAAAATGGATTATTGAAACTATTATTTTAAGACCTGATCATATAAACAAGATAAATAACTCAGTTACAATATAAAAGAGCCGTTTGTTTATTAAATTAAGCCAATAATTAACCAAAAAATTTAGATAAATATTGGCACTTTCAATATTTACTAATAGGCTTTTAGACTATTTAAAGAATATTGGTCAGATATCAGATTCTGATATGCCCATTACCAAATTTGGCATCATTCAACCAGTAAAAAGAGAACTAGTAGATTATACAAAAAAAAATGAGACCCTAAATTAGCACAAAAGAATTTTAAATCATGCACAAACATAACAGCTTGATAGTTTGATTGACATAGTGGTGAAGTCTTGGATTCAATGCAATTTTTTTATTGTATTTTTTAAATATAATTAATTATATATATGTCTTTAATAAAACAAACATCACTTAGCTATTTAATCCTTTCCTTCTGTGAATACCTGTATCCATTAATATTCATGATAGTTATTATGATCATTGAATACATTTGATGTTGTCATTGACATAATAAATAATACCAAGGCCATGCAGAAATAATTTTTTTAAGGAACTTGATTTCAAAACAATAATGCGTCTATCTATCCAGATCTCTGAGATTCACAGACAAATAAATCTATTCCTCCCTTGATCCATAGGTTTGACTGGTCGATTATTTTTCTTATGAATAGAATAATAATAAATCTGATGTTTGTTACAGGTTTAATAAAATTTCCTTTCACAAACATGCAGCTAGGTGGTTTTACACGCCCTCATGTCTGTGGAATTATTTCCATAGGTGAAGGTCATCACATGTTGGGAGGCTTTGGACAAATGGGATTCAAGCAAAAACTTCTCTCAGACCAGGGTTGGCTGTTATCATACAAGAAATAGGCATCGATCATTTATAAGATAAAGTTGGCATCTGCAACATGAGAAGTTGCAATTTGGATTTCTGCTTATTCATGGTATGCCTTACTTACAAACAAAGGCATGAACCTAGGGTAGGGGACCATTTGGGGAAAAGCCCAGGTCCCTCCCATTTAAAAAATAATCAAACAAATAAACAGGTAATTTAGAAAAACAATTAATTTGAATGGAACTTACTAGACAAAATCTCATGATGTATTGTTGTTGGTGTGCTAACATGCTGGTTGCAATGCCATGTTTATTTCTGAGGAGATTATTGCTACAACTTTTCAGCCTTCCCTAGTCAGATTCTGTGAGAGAAGATCAGGATTTGCGCAAATGTCCTAGACAATGATGCTATCTTGATAAATTCCCAGGACAATGCTTCCCCCTCCCCAGGAATCCAATTACATCATTGTATTATTGGGGGACGCAAGTCAGATTAGCCTTATGTACACAAGGAAAATAACTGTAATGTTCTTAAGTAAGATGACGTGCTCCACCAGATCTTTAACAGTCATGCTATCTTTTTTGTTTATTAATATTTAACATTAACAATGATTACTAAAAGCAAACACATAATCGTTTATTTATTAACAATTAAAAAACTCAAAACAATCAAATCATTTACTTGATGAATTAATAAATAAAAATAAAAATAATAAAAGTAGTTACATTGCAAAAATTTGGTGTTGAATTTTCTAAAATAATAGGTATTGAAGAATTAATCTATTTTTATTATTATTATTTGTAAATGGCAAAAAATGCTTATCAAATTAGTCACATGATTCTTATATAATAGATAAAAATTTTCCAAACCATACGCGTAACATTTTGAAATTATTAATTTTTTTTAAGGTTGATTCTGTTCGTGATGGAGAGGTAGTAAAGATTTGTGTATATGTGTAATTACATTTAATTTGATTCAAATTTTATTTTAAAAATTATTTGTTATTTATCAATACGATGATAATTGATGATGAAACTACCTCAAGGTTGGTCTTGAATTAAGATACAGAAGTCAGTTTAACAAATTCTCACTTAAACTAAAAAAAGGCAACGAAACAGTTTGAGTACCTGGATGAGTGTGCATTCCTACCAAACGATATCTCTCGATTTTTCTTAGCTCCTCAGTTCTTACATCCATATCCTGTACTAGTTGGATCCTTTTTAGTCACATCCCAACGAGTTGGTTTCTTTTTAGGATCAATGCTAACAATACATCCACATCCAATATGCCATGGTTGCTAGTTGACAGCCCATCGACCAGTCCATTAGATCTTTTGGCATACCATATTAACCATATTTAGTATTTTATTAATGCCAATAGACCAGAACAAAATACATCAGTTTCAATGGACTCGATCCATTGCCAACACTGCAATATACCGTGAATTCTTCACTGAACCTGGCCTGCAAACATTTTTGCAAAAAATTTAAAATGTTCCAATAATTTTATTTATTTTTAAGAAATTAATTGGCTATCAGGTTAGATATTTTTTAAAAAAATATAAACTTTTAGTCATTGTGTCAGCCATTGAAGCTAACAACAAGTGATATATTTTTGATAGCTCTAGTAGATACTATTATTTAAGGTGTAAGTCACTTTTGATGCAAGCTTCATCAAATGTCAGATCATTCTAATTACTCATCATGAATATTCTATGTGTTTAATACACACACATAAAGATTCTCCATGACCATTAAAAGATACCTTATAAGTAGTTTTAGTATTTTTTTTTCAATTTGATCCAACATCTTATATTATTTGGTGATATCAACAATTGTTCTTGGATTACAATTTTACCTTTTGCGTTTCAGTTGTGTGGTGATTTGCACCAGTTGATGATTCTCCCCCCTCGTCTTCTGGAAGCTCGAAACTTATTTTTACTTAATTGTTTTATTTTAAAGCATTTTTTTAATGTAATTTTTATAGTAAAACCTTTTAGGAATCAAAATCGTCTCGTAGTTTTAAGGTATAGGTTATAAACTACTCTCATGCCAATTTTCAATGAATGCTAATTTGGTAATTATGGAGGAGATGGAATTTGGGTAAAAATTTGCAGATATAATTTTTATGAGACTGTATTATAATTTTGATCTATATAGTTGGCCGAACATTTTAATGCAGCAACATTACAACCATCAATCTAATGATCAATTGATAAATTTTAAATAAGTATAGATTCAAAAATAAACAATCTTTTCCATTTGAAGGTGTGTAATTACTTACATTGGCTTCACTTTTAAGTCTAGAAAGTAAATACAACGACAATGTTTAATTTTCAAAGATATATATATGCTAAGCAAGCCTACTTAATAATATGATCTTCGCTTCTTTGTCTTCTAATAACTTTTCTCCCCCTTTTTTATTGTATTTTTATGGTCTATTTTTGTTGTCAATTAGATATTTTTTTGAATAAAATAAATAATAATATAATGATTATTTTCAATTGTCAATTGGTATTAGTAAATAAAAAAGGCGTGTTGATAGAAGAAGGTGATTAATTAATTAATTCCAGTGTGACTTGGTGCAAATATCAAACGAACGCTTACATCAACGTTTACATCAACGTTTACATCAGTGTTTACATAATTGTTTTTCAATAATGAATTAGGTGTTGCATCTGAAGACAATAATCATCACCATTGTTACCCTCAACTTCCTTTTCTTTTTTTTTTGTTTTTAACAAGTTACGAAACAGTTCCCATTGGTTCAGCAAATCCAATATCCTGCATCTCATCAGCACCATCAAGACAAACTAATTTCAATTCAAAATTATACAATGTAAAAGCTTTGTATCGTCATGAATACATCGAGTTTTTAAGTCAAAGTTGCTTGTCATTGAATTCAAACTTGGTTGAAATTTGTTTTTGCTAGATCTTCTTGCCAGTGTCATTATCATTGCTTTTGGGTTAAAAATTTTTTTTTTTTTGGAAAAGACATGGAAGAAGGTGTGGAAGACAATATGATTTCAGTTATTGGTAATGAAAATGCCAATGTTTTATCAGTCCCAGTCTAAAACAAAAAATATAAATATAAACAAATAAAAATCTAAATTATTAAATCATAAATGAAGAAATAAATAAATTTGAGAACCTTTGCTCTGACTAAAACATCATCTCCATTTTAAAAATTGCAGCTTGAATAGGAGATAAAGATTAATTCCACGTTTGTTCAATGAATTGATGGATTTTTCTGAAATATCATATGGATTAATAATGCCATTATTACCATTGTATTTTGGTTCGATAATGTGGATTGGGAGGTTCAGGTACTTGGCCCTCAGAATGTTGAGTGGTTTCCTTAAAAAATACCTAGAATGTCTTGTTGAGAGAATTGTTGGACGTTTTGTTGAGAGGTTTGACAGAAGCAGAAATAAAATTGTTGAAACAAGGGTCATCTCAGGATCAGTTACGCCTTTGAACTGTAATGTTTTGAGATTTAGTTGACTTCTTTGGAGCTGAAGCTTTCTTTACTCATCATCCTATTTGTTATATGTTATAATTATTACTTCACTGAATTTATTACTTTTGCTTTGTTTAGTTGCTTGATTGACTTTATATGCTTGCTATATTTAAAAATATGGGTTATGCTAAATTCTTTAATATTAAATTATTTAAAATTAACTTACTTCTCGCAAATAGCTTTAGCTTGAAGAAAAAGTAGAGGAATTGAAAAAATTGGTATTAGTATATTTATACATACAACGCTACCAAGAAATATTAGTGTGGGAAAATTGATCCGCGTTGCATTTAATTATGGCGATTATGTAAATATATATAACATGATTTTTGTTTTTTTTTACAAGAATTTTTTTTTTAAATTTTTAATAATAATTAATAACATAACAAGATGGATTTAACAATATTAGAAAAATATTTTAATGAAAATGAAAGATTTTTAAATTCAGAAGAGAATAGTGATGTAAAAATTAATGTTGGTGTAAAACCAAACATTAAAGAAATTCATGCACATTCATTCATTCTACAAGTTCATTGTCCATTCTTTAGAAATGCTTTAACCAATGCAACAAAAACAAATGGTTATTATGTTATTGAAAAACCAAATATTAGTGAATTAATTTTTAGACCTATTCTAAAGTAAGTTTACTAAATTAATATTATATTGTATTTATTTTTTAATTGAATATATGGAGCTTTTCAATAGAAACAAGGACAATGTTGAAAATAATGTTTTGAAAAAATGTTCTGCATTTTAAAGGATTTGCCATTATTGGGAAAATTTACTATGCAGAAATAGGTATGGTTTCTAAGCCAAAACCATTCCATCTAAAGAGTTACATATAAGGGGTGACATTAACTCAAAATCATAATTGACATTGTCCTTGTTTCTATATATATATAACAATGGCAGTAATGATAATTAACAATATTTTTTTATTATTTTAAAAGATTTTTATATACTTGTAAAATTGAATTAGACAATTTTACTGGAGTTGAGATTGTGGAAATATTAGTTGCAGCTCATGAACTTGGTCTTGAGTCACTCTATGAATATACAATGAAATATTTTATTGAGAAACATGGGGTTTATATAGAAAAATTATTTCAGTCAAGTGAATTTGAATCATTGGAAAAACCAATTATTTTGGAAATTCTCAAAACAAATGATTTTGTTGTTGAGGATGAAACAATTGTATGGCAACATATTCTTAAATGGGGATTGAAAAGACATCCAGAAATCTGTAATAGTAATGTTGAAGACTGGTCATTGCAAAATTTTGCAGATTTTGAAAAGACAATAAAAGAATTTATTCCTTTGATTCGATTTCAGGATATTTCTAATGAGGATTTTAATGACAAAATTGTGCCATATCTAATGCTTTTTCCTAGAGCTTTATCAAAAAACCTTTTTCAATATTATTTAGTTCCTGACAAAGAGAAAACTTTAAATTTATTACCATCAAGAACTCCAAAAATTGACTCAACAATAATTAAAGAAAAAAAAAAGGCTATTTTACTTTTTGCAAGCTGGATTGATAGGAAGAACCCACCATATAATTCATTCAGAGAACTTAAATATGAATTTAAACTTTTGTATTGTAGTAGTAGAGATGGTTTAAATGCAGCTATTTTTCATCAAAAATGTGATAATATTAACAAAACTCTTGTGGTTGCCAAAGTACAAAACACTGAGCAAATTGTTGGTGGATATAATCCACTTAATTGGAATGGTGATGATTTATATAAAAATACAAATGATAGTTTTATATTTAATATAAGCAATAGAATGGATATCAGTACTGCACAGTTTAGTTATCCTATTCAAAATAATCACTATGCAATATGTTGTGGTCCAGGTTACCTTCCTATTTTTGGTGGTGGTAATGATTTGTATCTTGAGCCAAGTAATAAGACTGTTAGGAGTTCACTTAATACTTATAGTAACATCAATATAGTAAATGGTAGTGTGTTTGATGAATTAGAAATTTTTCAAATAATTAGTAAATAATTAGTAGAAATTAAAATAATCAAAATACAATCATGAATCAAATTCTTTTTAACTTTTTTTATCAGAATTAGGAAATTATTATTATTTATTTATTTACTTTAAATATTTTAACTTATCTGCCATAATTAGCAACTAGTATATATAAATAAAAATCATCACAAAGTAAGTATTTTTAGAACCTGTTTCTATACACTAGTATATAGTTTATCATTATTTTTTCTTTTGTTGATTATTATTTTGATTTTATTGTTTTCAATACATTATTATTATTATTTTATTATTTATTGATATATGCGACTTCTTTATTTTCAATGATATTACTTTCTGTAATTTCTAATTTTTTTTAAAGTGACTTTACCAACACCACTATTGATTTCATTCTCTGAGTCAATCAATAACTATCTTTTTAAAATCCCTCCATTAGCTTTAAACCATCAATTGAATAAAAAATCTTTTTTTCTTGATATTCTTCCTGATTGTCAATAGAAATGGATTTTTGAATAATTGTATTTTCTTAAAAAGTTTTTTTCATTACATAATCTTGTATCATCTAGAGGTTTGGGTACAATTGGTTTAAAACCGGTTCCTATTTTTCATATTCGATAAACCGGATATAATAAAACCGATTTATTTCGGGTGACTGGTTTTATTATTATGCATACAATCACTGTACTAAACCATTTATCTCTCAAACAAAAAAAAATACTAAAATGTATTTATATGATGTATATTTTTTGAATATATTATTGTATATATAATTTATATATGAATGTACTGTATATTGTGAGAACGTGTCCAAGCTTCAATGATGGTTATTTATTTATTTGATGTTTGTGCTGATATATACAATAATACAATTTCTTCCAATTTATACTAAATTGTAATAACAATTTCTGCGAATATATATTTATGCTTTACTATCAAACTATCTTCCACCATCATTAAACGATTCCTTGCTAAGCAATATTCTTAGATTTCACACTATGTCCTGATCAAGTTTCTTGGTGGATGCCCTCTCGCACTGTTACTCCCTACTCAAGTCAGGCACATTTCCCAAATCTCACTAAATAAAATTTACCTACTAAAAAAAAAAAGAAATAAAAATAATAATAAAAATAGAGACAATTATAAAATAAGAGAAAATTAATTATGCACAGATTAGTACGAAAATATAAAACTGAAGACCAGGACAAGAACAGGACAATATTAAGGTTAAGGACAGTTGGTTATTTATTATGAATTAACTATTCATTAACTATTGATTTTCTATTTTTTTAGTTAAGAAAATTACAATGTTATTTATACATGTTAAAGGTTCAATCATCTAGTTCCCAATTTCTAAAAACTCTTAATTAAAGGATTATTTAAAAATAAACAAACCTTTCTTTTGGAAATAATTAAAGAAATGTTACTTTCTTGATAATTCCCGCGAGTTAATTATTTTATTGGTTTATTGCACTTTATCAAATTGGACTGATTTGAATCCTTGAAATGTATTTTCGTTTTTGATTTTCTTTTTGTGATCCTTAAATCACTATTACTATTTTCACAATATGTAAATTTAAAAGATGATGATACATTTATTTAAATGTTTACACTAATACAATAATATAGAATTGTTTAATGACAGTAAAAGATAGTTTGAGAGGAAAGCATAAATATATATTCACAGAAATTGTTGTTACAATTTAGTATAATTAAATAACTTTCGCTTTCATTTGATAGATACTCCCACAAAATTAAAACCGATTCTGATTTGAAAAGGTGATTAAAACCGGTTCCAACTTCTAGTGTCAACTTTTAATGAGTCTATAGAGATTCCGTATTCCGTAAATCTGCGCCTCTGTAGTAAAACATAGTGATGTTAGCCGGTAGAAAAACCTTAGCCGGCTAATAATCTGCATACATAATTTCTAAATTTGGTAATAGATTTCCGCGTTATCTTCTGGTTATGGTAATAAAATTACCAATTTAGGTAATAAACGGCTTAGCCGGCTAAGAACTTGATATTGAATAAATTTTTTATCTAATAATTTAGTAAACAAATAACATACTAATACTTTG